TATTCTCATCACAAATATTAATCAATTGTATAATATTAACTAATTAGAAGCTCTGTACCTCAGGTTAAAAATGACACAAAGAAAACTCGCAAACCGAAAGTTATTTCGAAAAGTAAAAAAAAATATTATTGTATGTCACTCGAATATATATAAAAATTACATTACTGTGACAATTATGAAACTTCAATTAATTTTTAAAAAAACATTTATTAAAAATTTACTGATAGAAGATATTAGATCGCGGCCATCGATAATTATGGCATTCAATGTGCTAAATAACACAACGGAGAAATATTCAATTTAGTTTTCAAAAGCAGAAATAGAGTGTAGGAAAGTCTGAAGAGATCATTTAAATGTTTTACGGCATGTACGGCAACAGTAACATGTCCTGGGTAAAATATAATATAACTGCCACTAAGCAGTAGTCTTTATTAAAATTCTAGTATATTGTCTACATTGCTTGATATTAATAAAATGTTAATACTATTATATTAATCGATATATTAAAAAATATAACAACTAATAAAATATAATAATATATGTATATATATATATGTAATAATAATTGAATATATAAATAATATATTCATATATTAGTTGCCATATTCATATAATAATATCATAACTCAATAATATAACTACTATTAATATAATGACTAATGACTAATTTTAATAATATGTAAACTGTATTATAATTTGATATATGTAATTAATATTATATTTAAAATTAATCATAGACGGGTGCTGTTAGATGCTTGGTTTTCGTCGCTTGAAACATTTAAATTCTTATAAATCGTTAAATATGAATTACGAAACATTACCTTAACCTTCAAGTCTCTGTATGGTCTAACGGAATGAAACTTATTGTTAAGTTCAAAATCGGGTTTAACAGATCTACCAAGAACGTCCCGTATCTTAATCACGTCCTCTTGCGCTCGAATCGACGATGTAGCAGCTAAAAATAACGGGCAGTTCTGAGTTTTTATTGCTTTTATAGATTTTGACCATGTTACTGTATAATTAAGTTCTGCTTGAAACCCTATGATCACATTTGGTTGCTTGTAATGACTACTAAATATATAATTGTGGTACAACAGAGGATAAGACTCAAGAATGAGTCTCTTCCTTTTTAATTTGCAACGAGAACAAGTTTCGTGTTCTTTAGTTTCAATGTGTAATTTTGGCCCTATCATTACAATTATCAGTTTGCTCTTCTTATCTAAGAGGTGTAAAAAAAGCTCCCAGGCGGGAAAATTGCGTCTATCCACATAGTTCGCGGCTATAATGTGAACGATAAAGTCACCGGTCGCCTTTCGAGAAGGGAATAAATTTGCAGACCGCAACCCATTGTATAGAGTCAGCGGGTCTGATACGTAATCAGAAAAGGCGTAATTATTAAAGCTCCAAGTGTGGTGTATACTTAATCTTCGATAATATCGATTGCAAAATGAACGTATGTTAGTGAAACATTCGTTTTTGGCAGGAAATTTATAGAATTTAACATATAGCGTTTTCCGTGCTGTTTGTTCAAGAAACATGATATCTAGGTTGACACTTAAAGCCAAGTGGAAGCAGTCGTATCCTTGGTGCAAAGTATTCAATACTATATGATCAGTGCAATAATTGGTGCATAAACATCTTGTACAGGTCAACAAATGATTTCGCTGATGACAAACAAAACACGATCTTGCGAATATGAACATCTCCTCTTCGTATGGCATTATTTCACGTGTCAGTTTCATCTGGATGTTCCGCATAAAATCATATTGCGATTCGATCCAGTCATCGGTATTTAAACGGCGATTGTTCCATTCTGGATCCTCATTTACGAACCTTGTTATAAGAATACAGATGTCATTATGTTGCGGTTTATGGAGAATTCTGTGCTCTTCGGTACAGTAGGAAATCATGCGGCACAGGCCACATAATGTCAGATTTTCTTGGTCTGTAGATTTGCAAACGTGACAAACGTTCGGATGGAAAAATTGGTTGTAATCAACGTGCGTTTGGAGTCGAAGTTGTCCGTTTACTTTATAAATATCGATCATGTTTATGTATCTATGTGTAATCGATGTGAAGAAATACTTTATATATGTGTGTAATATCGATTTTAAAATATTAATACGTAAAACTCGATATCTCAGATGAGTATCCGGATATTTTATCCTAGATGCACAGATGTTAATACGGCGATTATAAAGAAGATACTAATAAAATGTATACATAAGAGTCTTCGTACATTCTCAAGGATTGTTGACAATTTATATGTAACTGGAGAAACGTGGACAAGTTAGAAATACCCCTTATCCAATAGAATATCTCGAATAAACTTGATAGGAATAGATGTATTAAAAATATTAACGAATATTATAATTTTAATAATGTTAGCTCGCACAGTGAATGCCGCATTAATTCTTCAGTTACTAGTCCAAAGACTTTACTAAAAGTTGAATGACCAGAATACCGAATATTGGTCAGCGCTATATATATATATATATATATAACCATGGCTAACTACTATATTAAACAATAATACATAATTATCCTCTGCATGTTTTAAAAGCAAGGGTGCAGGATGGGAGAGTTTGAAGAGATTATTAAAGTCTTTCGCAGTAATTATAATATATATTCTTTACGAAACTTCTACACCAATTACATTCTTTGTTAAAGTCGTGAAATGATTCTTAGGAGAAATGTATAATATTTACAGTAAAATTAATAAAGTACTGATATTATTATAGATTATCAATGTAATATTTAATATATATGTTATACAATTGTATCTTATAAAATATATCAAATATTATATTTTGATATTATAATAATTACAATATTTATTAAGTAATATTATTTTAATATGATCAATGCTATTTAAAATTAATTACAAATGGGAGCCGCAACTTTCTTTAGTCGTTTTGCTGGGGCCATTTAAGTTTTTATAAATAATAAAATAAGTATTGGGTAGAAATATATAACCAGTCTCATAATCCTTATATGGTCTACGAGAAGCAAAATAATTTTCATTTATAAAGAAAGGTTTCACAGTTGTATTCAGGATTTTACCTATCTCTATTACATCCCAATGCGCTTTAAGTTGCGATTTCGCAGTTAAAAGTAACGGGCAGTTTTGAGCCTTTATCGCTTTTATAGATTCCGACCATGCGTCTCCGTGATTAAGTTCCGCTTGAAAACCGATGACCACATTTGGCCGTCTATAATTAGCGCTGGACATATAATTATGATATAACAGAGGATAAGATTCAAGAATGAGTTTCTTTTTAGCTGTTTTGCAACGGGAGCAAACTACGTGCTCGCAAGTTTCGCGCTTTAATTCTAATCCTATCATCACCACTATCAGCTTCTTCTTTTTACTCAAGAAATGTAGGAACAACTCCCAAGCTGGAAAATTGCGTCTGTCTACATTACTTGTAACTATAATATGAATAACGAAGGCGTGCGTTACTTTTTCAGGATGAAATAAATTTGCAGATTGCAACCCGTTATACAGCGTCAACGGTCCCGATACATAATCAGTGAAAGCGCAAGTATTAAGATCCCATTCACTGCGTCTTCTGCTTCGTTCTCTGTAATATTGACTACAAAATGAATCCATGTCAGTGTAAAGTCTCTTCTTATCAGGAAAGTTATAAAATTTGATAGATAGCGCTTCCCATGCCTCTTTCTCAAGAAATATGATATCCAAGTTGAGATTTAACGCCAGATCGTCGCAGTTAAATTCGTGCAGAGAACTCTCCGATTCATGATCGACGCAATAACTGATGGAAATGCATTTTTCACATGTGAATAAATCACTCCGTCGATGACATATAAAACACGATTTTGCGAACAAGAACATCTGTTCTTCGTAAGTCTTCAAGTTACGTCCTAATGTCACTTCCGCTAATCGCATAAAATTTTTCTGCAATTTGATCCAATCTTGGAAATATAAACGACGAGTGTCCCAATCTGGGTCTTCGGTTACAAATCTTGTAATAAGTGTACAGATATCTTCATGCTGCGGTCGGTGCAGTCTTTTGTGTTCTTCATTGCAGTATAAAATCATGTTACACCGGTCACATAATGTCAAATTGTCTTGATCTGTCGACTTACAAACGTGACAAATGTTGGGATGGAAAAATTGGTTGTAATCAACATTTGTTTGGACTCGGTGGTACCTATGCACTTCGTACATTCTAGACATGCCGGTTGATAGTCCGTAAGTAATCGACGTATATTATTTGTTGCGTCAATATGGAAATTATGTGCAAAATTCGTTATTTTCACGAAAGTAATCGAGTACTTTACCAGCGGTGTAGATGTCAGCGATTATACAGAGGACACTAAAGTAAAGTGTTTACAAGCGTTTCAGCGTGTCTCGGAAATTGTTTACAGACTCAATTGTAACTAGAGCTATAACGAACTATGAATATTCGTATCCAATAGAATGTCGTAGATATATTTGACAACAACAGGGAAAGGTGTGTGTGTGTGTGTGTGTGTATCTAACATGATATTTACCGACATGTATAAATCGTCTATTAAAGCGCCAAATACTTTGCTTTTGAAACAAGAATGTAATGTAAGAAGCCAAGTCCTGTGCGCGCAAATCCTCTTACAGATATTAGCGATTGGTGTAATATTAATTAATTACGCGTTAAGTATCTCGTGTTTGAAAATAACGCAATTAAATCAAATCAATGAAATCAATCTAATCTAATGTATAATATATTCCATGTGTAATATATACCATGTATTTTCCTAATTTATGAAATACATGAATTATTTTATATATATATATATGTGTATATGTATATATATAAATTATATATAATTATATTATGTAATAGCATATACACACATATATATTGGTTATAAATTATATATAATTATATTATGTAATAACATATACACATACACACATATATTGGTTATAAATTACGTATATTATATAATTTATAACTAATTATAGATAAAAATTGTTAACCGAATTATTATATTTTTCAAACATTTAAATTATCGTAGACAGTTAAATAAATATTACGAAATGATACGTAACCAGCCTCAAAGTCTCTGTAAGGCCTAAAAGTACGGAAGTCATTAAAAGTAGAAAGTATTGGTTTTACAGATGGTCCGAGGACTTGTTGTATCATTGTTATATCGTATTCCGCTTTACATGACAATGTAGCGGTTAAAAGTACCGGACATTTTTGAGACTGCATCGTTTTTATAGATTCCGACCATGAATCAGGATTCAGAGCCGGTAAAGGTCTGTGAAGCTCTGCTTGAAATCCCACAATCACATTTGGTCTTCTGTAATTAATATGAAAGACATAATCGTGGTATAACACAGAGGAAGCTTCAAGAATAAGCCTCTTATTATCTTCCTTGCAATAGAAGCAAGTTTGGTGTTCATTATATTCAGGCTCTAATTCCGGACCTATTAGCACAATTATCAGTTTCGTTATCCTATTCAACAAATGTAAGAGAAGTTCCCATGCTAAAAAATTACGTCTGTCCACGTTATTTGCAGCTATAATATGTATGACGAAAGTATTAGTTATCGCTTCGGGGTGAAACAAATGTGCGGACTGCATCCCGTTGTATAGAGTCAACGGGTCTGATATGTAATCAGTAATGTGGCAATATTGATTACAGAATGATTCCATATTAGTAAAAGGCCTCTTTACATCAGGAAATATATTTTTGATACGTAGCGACTCCCATACTGAGTCTTCGGAAAACCTGACATCTAAGTTGAGACATAAGCTCATCTGATAGCACATAGATCCATAGTGCTTGTAAATATGGTGTACATGATCCGAGCAATAGCTGACGGACAAGCAATATTCACAGGTGTACGAAGTATGCCGTTGATGACATATAAAGCATGCTTTTGTGAACATAAACATCTGCATTTCGTACGGTTCTAGTTGACGTTTCAGTATCACCTGAATTATTCGTATAAGAGATGCCTGTAATTTGACCCAGTCATCATAGAGGTAACAACGATCGTACCATTGCGGGTCGTCGTTTATGAAATCGGTTATAATTGTGCAGATCTCGATATGGTGCGGCCGGTGCTGCCATTTGTGCTCTTCGCAACAGTAAGAGATCATGTGGCACCAATTACACGGTCTCAAAGAGTCTTGGATTCTTGATTTGCAAACATGACATATGTTCGGATGGAAAAACTGATTACTATTAGAATGATGAGCTTCTCCGTTACTATTTTCTTGCAACATACCTATAAATTCATGTAATCGAAATTTAGAAATATATTATTTGTAATCTCAATTTACAGGCAACGCACGAAAACTATATATCCTTAGTATACATTGTAAAATTTCGTAGAAGTAGAGTCGCCGATTACCGAAAAGACACTAGTTAGTAGTGTTTACGCGTGCCTGCGAAATTGGTTATAACCTGAATTTTAAATTGAGATGTAACGGATTACAAACAGTCGTTACCTGATAGAACATTACGAGTAAACTCGATAGGCCGCAGAGAGAGAGAGAGAGAGATACATAATAACAAATGTTTATCGACGTATGTATGTACTATGTATATCTTCACAAGACTAGTGGATTTTGTAATGTATGTTTTTAATTGTGGGCCAAGTATCTCGGAGGGAGATTCAAGAATAATACGTTTTTAAATCAAGCAGAGGAAGCTTGAAGAAATCCAAACTCACAGACACAATTAGAGTTCCGGAGGAAGCTTCGGGAAATAAAAACCGTGTTTTGACAATGCGCTCGGCCAAAAATTGTCAAGCCAAGAATGAGAGGGAGAGAAAAGGAGAGGGAAAGAAATACGGAGGAAGACGTTCCAACCAAGCGCTCCGTAATGCCTCTATTAAAATGCAATTCCGCATCTTACCCGCGCAAGGACGTCCCCCTCTCGGCCAGGTTGTCGACTCGTTCTTCCCTACTTCATCCCGCCGTCTCACCCACGAGATCTCCTTGTTTCTCCTTTTACTCATTAAATAACCGCACTGCCGCTTCCGGACGACTCCGGAGGAGTAACTTCTAAACGGCCCTTCCGGAAAATGCAAATGCGCGTGCCGCTTTCCCGCCCCCGATTACCATCCCCGTCGCCTCCCCCTTCCCCCCTGCCCCCGCCTGCAGTAATTAAAAGGGCACGCGAAGACAACTTACGTACCGAAGAAGTTGATTCCTTCTCCAGCACCCTCCCCTCAGCCACCCCGATCCCACCTGCCCACCGCGTTCTGGTTCTGTCGCTAATGAGAACTCGCGCCGTTCTTCGCTTAAGTACGTTAATTCGTTATTTCGACCTCGCCGAGTGGAGTTCCTCCTCCGCAGGGGAGGAGAAACGAACATTCGCGTCGCGTCGCTCGCCGAACTTTCCATCGAGAGATACGCCGCGGGGAGGATCGCTGAAGGCGGGAGTCCGACGAGTCGCGTCTGAAGTTGCGGTGTCAATTTGAGTTAGTCGAAAAATTAACGGGAGTAAGTCACTGGGATCGGCGGGGATGCGTGAGTATTTATAAAAAAAAGTAGGTCTCCAGTCTGAACAGACGGATGCGAAATTGTCAGGCAGATCTTGCGAATAGATCGTATGGATGACACGGCACTCCTCTTAACGAGCTAATGCGTAGGCAGTCTGAAAGTTCTCGACCTGACACATACATGGCATTAGAAACTGTCAAACTATAATTGTATTGGAAAGTGGCATCCCTGATATAAAATGTAAAATTTTATTCGACCTGTCAAGTCATTCGAGCAGTAGCATCAGTTGAAAAAGCTTTGTGCAAGATGGAGTAACCACATTTGCTAACAATTGACCAAAAACGTATTCGAATGCGTATTTCTCAAGCGTGTTTGGCACATTTTAATCGTTTTAAGCAAAATAAAGTGGATCTCATTTCAAGCGTCGTTTCATAACTGTTGATGAAACTTGAATCCACCACTATACACCAGAGCGCAAAGAACCTTCCGGAATCACACTTTAATGATGGTACCGAATTATTGGAAAGACGTTGGAATAAATGTATCGAATGTTTCAGGAGATTATATTGAGAAATAAAACACATTTCACGGCGAAAGAAAATTTCTTTCATTGTTAGGCCGAGAACATTTCAGACTGCCCTCGTAACGAAGCAATCGAGAAAAGAATCGCTCGCTGCGCGCTCTTTACGAATCACTCGCGCGATCCTCTCGCGTCGCAACGTTGCAGCCCCAATTGGGTCTCTACCTCATCATCGCTCCGTTGTTCAAATCCCTTCCGTATGATAATTAATTTCCGCGCAAACGCAAACGAACCGCGCGCAAATAAAGCCGAGTTTACGGCGGTCGCACGCTGCCGCTCCTGCCGTCCTGGCGTCCGCGCGTATTTACGGAAAATCGGGAGAAACAAACCAATCGTGCGGGACTAATCGAGGGGCGGACCGTCCCGATCCAGCGGCCGCTTCCATGGTGGCCGCGATTACGGGACTAAGAGCCGTGCGAACTCGAGATAGGATAGAGGGACTACATGTTGTAATAACATGCCCCGCGCATACAACGGAGTCCTCGCGCGTATTCGACATCGCGCCCCCTTTCAGCACCCCCGTACACCCACCGGGGAACGGTACGTATCTGACCGTGCAGATCGCACCCTCCCGTCGTCCTTTCAGCCCAGGGAACCCTCGCGGAGTGCGATGCCCGCACTCCATTACGCCGGCTGATTATTCGCCATTGTCCACCTGTAAATAGAATATATCGGCTGTTGCCAATCTCCATTTACGTCCTCTCGGCGCTTCCCGCCGCCGCACGATCGGCCCGCTGGATGTACGGACGCGCGGCAAGTAGTAACTTACATGCTCCTGTTGCGTACGTCGTTCCGCGCCTCGGCAAGCGAGAGTGCGGTGCTCCCGGCGAATTTCCGCGCGGAAACTCGGCGGAAACTCGCTCGTGAAGAGCGAGCAATCTCTACACTAGGAAGAAAAATTTAGTATCTCTGGCAAAACTGTTTTAGTTGAGGCATTTTTTAATAGCAACCAAATATCTTGTTTTATATAACAAAATATTTAGTTGTCTCGACTAAATATATTTTTCTGCTTTGTTCTCTGGACCAAATGATTTTGTTCTTGGACTACATGTATAAAAATCGAGCATTTCAGTTATTTTATCCATAAAAATTACATAATAACGAAATATTATTTTATCACAATAAATAAACTGAAATAATGCCCAATGGATACTATTTTGTCTTCCTGTGCGCTAAAATTTAGATTTTGTAAATTAAGAAGAAACTATAGTATTTTTAACAAAATTCATATAGTTGAAGCTTTTTGGTTGCTATAACAAAAGTATTACGTTACACGAACAAACCGTAATCAAACAAGATATTTGTTTACAGAAACTAAACAGTTTTGTTGGGCATATTTTAACCAAATTATTTTGTTGTTACAACAAAATTTTGGTTCACGCAACAATACATTTTTCCTAGTATACGCGTGCGTTTGTCTCGAGGTGCTCGGTTGTAATTTACACGAATTTATTCCAATCTCGATTTGATCGTTTTTCTCTTTGTTATTTGACGAAAGCGAAGACTTCTCTCTCTCTCTCTCTCTCCACGAGATCGAATGCTGGCTCGAAATCTCGCGAGCGCACAAGTCGATCGAGATCGGACGGGTATTTAATGTCTCGAAGAGCTGCAGGATCGAACGAACCTCGTCGCGCGGAAAGAGAAAAGACCAAACGCCCAACGACCAAACGCGGTGTGAGAGAGATAACATTTGTCGACAGTCCTGCGATGTCCAGCCGTGCGTCCGAGTAATTAAGATCCGAGGGCACGTGCGGCGCGCAAGCTGTCGCCGTGTCGCAACGGGCATGGCAAACGGAACAATGACGTTTGCTCGAAGAAAGAGAAAAGGAGCAGAATAGGAAGCGAAGGGAGAAGAGAGAGAGAGAGAGAGAGAGAGAGAGAGAGAGAGAGAGAGAGAGAGAGAGAGAGAGAGAGAGAAAGCGAACAAGAGTTCTTCTCTTTCCAAATAAAGAAGAGAGGCGACGCGACGGCTCGGCAGATATGCAGAAATCCGTATAGAAGTGATAAGAAAAACAAAACCCACACATAAACATCCGTCAATCGCTGCGTATCCGTCAATCATTAGCGTATCAATGGCATTGAACAATAAATTTCAGAGCGTCGAGGATAGCGCCGATGTCCCTCCGCTCGTCGTCCTGTTTGCTCGTAGTATCGCTAATGAGTCAGCTACGACCGATGAACCGCGCACGGATAGATGGGAGAGTGACGCGGAGCGGAGGAAGAGGAGGTCCTTCAATCCTGTCCCTCAAAGCTAATATAATTATGGAGCGTAGCGGGACCGAGCGAGCAAACGGCTCACGGATACAATCAGGACAATCAGCATGATTGGCGGTCTCAAGTGTACACACGAGAAACTCTCCGGGCGCCAAAAGCTTAAGACCGACGACCACGTCGCTCGCATTGTTCCCGACGTCGCTCCTCGGAGACTCGTCGTCGAGCACGGGGCTCGCGATAAGAAACAGGATGTTCGCCCCCGCGTTCGTTCCCTCGTCGTCACGCGTTTCTCGAAAAATCCCGACGCGAGCGAACGCGCGCGCGTGCGGTGTCGGCGGGATTAACGACGAGATCTCTTTCTATCCTGCAAAGAACATCGTTCGAAGGGACGACGGTATCGCGTCCTCGTGAGGGTGGATATCCATTGGAGGGTAAAGAAGACAATCGCGTGGTGATGGGTGAACTCGTCGTGACCTCGCGACGACGACTGGGATCAATCGCAAACACAGAGATGAGGAAACAAAGAGAGAGAGAGAGAGAGAGAGAGATTAAGGACGACGCTCTGAGAATATATCGGGTCGGCTGAAAAATTCGATTCAACTTTCCAAGGACGGCAACGACTCTCGTGATGACCACGTATTATACGTTATTGGCGAAAAATTACGGGCACGCGGACAACGGCGGTTGTCTCGGTCGACGAGTATAATCTGTTTTCACTGAAGAAAAACAGACGGCGAAATTGACCGGAAAATCGAGAGCCAAGCTTTCCGACCGATCCGACGATATCGCGAGGACTAATAAACAAACATCTCCTGTTTGCCGTCGTATTTTTCAAGTCGCTCATTCTTCGCGACGCAGAGAGTCGTCGTGTTCTTAGCGCGACGTAAAATATGCAGGGCGTCTCTTCTGCAGAAACCTCTCGAGGGCGGATTTCTCCGGTAACTCGGGGACAAGAATCTCAATACGAAAATGTCGAAACGAG